ACACTTTTTAAACACAGAATCAATAAACTGGATCTTACGTGAATATTCCCCTACTCTCCCCTTTACAGTATGCTATTTCTCCATTGGGATTTCCCCGTTTACTGTAATTCACATTGTGTGTAATAAATAAAATAATGCCAGGTCTTAGTTTGGTTACTCTTGATCTTTTTCCACCCACTACCTGCCTCAACGGACATCGCTCCTTCATCTCAATACCTAACCGAAAGGCAGCTATCAAAACTGCCACGCGAAAGTGCACGTTTGAGGATTGTACAAAATAGCGCTAGAACGTCACTTTCATAAGCTGCAGTGACCCGTCGTACGCACATCTTATCAGTGATTGATGGAGCGTAAGCAAAACCACTTCATGTTTGCTTAGGGTCTTTGACTTCAAAGCCGACACTTTTATTGTGTGAAAAGAACGTTTCTGTTGTTTAATTTTGTTTGTTTAAACCATGCGATTGTTGAGGATGCACGAAATGGGAAAGACTGTTTGATAGTAGAAGCGACTTTTTTCGTTTCCATTACCATCTAAATCTCCCACCCTCCTAACGCGCTATCTGCGTTTAGAATTGGTTGCTTTCTGTCCCTCGAAAGTAGTTTGCCTTGTTTATGAAATTAATGAATGAATTCATGTCAATGGGATTAGCTTCAATGATACGGTTCACGGAATTCACACTCCTTGTAACTGTAGATCACTAAGAGAATTTTTAAATTGTGTTGAACACTAAATTCTAATTGTTTTTCTCTGTTCTTCCCTTATCTAATTTTCATTTTTCGAGTTATTGAAACGTCTTAAATCCACTCCCGGGAAGAATTCCAGAAAGGACGGCAACCAAAGCCATGACTCCTGTATATTGGGCTAATGATGATCTAATCTAACCTAACTGATATTTTGGATTGCATTCCTTTGCATTAACCCGATCAGTGCGATTGGGGCTAAGTTTCAGGTTATAGAACCGTTTTCAATTAGACGTCATTTAAATGTGGTCGAGAAACCGGATGCGTATCTTTCCCAATTCCTTTCCGGTATCTGTTCTTAGGAGTGTCCAGGATCAGTTACAGCAGTATATTTGTATATTTTTTCATACACTATTCTGAGCTCCGATTGTGTGCCAAACAAATCTCGGTACAATAATCTTTATTAAAAGAACATAGGTTCACGATTTGCTTGTGGGCGCGATACTGCCAGGTTGTTCTGGCCAAAACAGGCGAATTTTCTTAGGGAATTCACAACCGGAGCCGGATTTGCTAAAGCCTGACTCGCAAGGCAACGGGACGGTGTATGAAAATCGCAGACGATTGGGGTCCGGTGTCCAGCTCATCGGATCATTCGCCCTTTGGACGGGGTCAAACGTCCAAGGTACCCAAATACACCTCCGAGGCCAATCGAATTGGTGACCATAGCCTTAATCAGGAAGATGTCTATGTGGTTCGTAAAAAAGGAGTAAAATGAAAAGATGAAGATATAGCCAGGCCTGAACGTGTGAAGATCTTGACCAAGGGACTTGCTCATACCGGTCACGTTAAGGCCCTCATTAAGGAACCCCGCGATCAACTTAAACAATGGATAGATGCTGGACACTAAAGCTGAGTGTCACAAACAATGCATCCCATGATTTTCTACTCACATTTAGTTCGCTTGTATTCTATCTTGATCTTGGATTTAATCTCATAGGTTAAATCATTTCATTTGTCACTTTCTTCATTAATCGAACAAATTGTTAACCGAAGGACTTTGAGGGAAACCAGTTCAGATCAGTTTGTACAACCATTAACCACTCATATTCGTGCGCCGGTTTTGGCTACCCATTTGGATGAAGAATAGGAGAAGAAAGGAAAGTTGAAGGTGAAGTCGAACAGAAAATGTACAGTTCAGTGGTCTAAGGTTGCAAAGAAATTGAGATGCACGAACGCCACTGTTTTCGACATTCAACCAGTACACGGGATTGCAAGGTAATAGGTTTTCAAACAGAAGTTGAAGAACTTTCATGGTAAATAAATACATGTCGTTTCAGTTCCTGTTTTATTTATTGAATATACAAGTGTACAGTCAACATTTTACGAAGGGGGCCCGCGGCCATACAAAGGCTCTCTGAGAAGACAGGCGGTGGTGGAGCGTTTCGAACCCGGGACTCACAGATCACAAGTTAGTAACATAACCACTTGGCCACCATCGCCCCAGCAGCAGCAATCAAAATATTTTGTACAGCAGGTGATCGATTTGCTGCTTTTCCTAAATTCCGCGAATCCTTGTATCTATAAATAGTCCCTATTTCTTCGCTAGTTTATCTTCGTTTATACGTTGTTCACATCAGAGTTTCCCCCAGTAGAAGGAGGTTACAACCATTTCTAGTGTCACTACACGCTGATAATATAAGCAAGGTTTTTACTGATAGAGATCAAACCACTAGATTGGGGAAGGTCTCATCCAAACCCTTGGTCAACAACTCGGGAGTTCATTACGGAGCTGTTCTATCCCCATACTTATTTTCCACGTTCATTTGGGATGTTCCTCGTATTTTTCCTGCACTTGTCTTAAAATATGCGGATGATGTTGTGCTGTGTCAACCCATTTCTTCTTCCTCCGATCTAATCTCCACCGACAATATTGGTCAAATTCGGTCATTCTCCTCCTTATCGGGGTTAACATTAGGCCCCAGTAAATGTGTTAAATATGTATGTAATTCTGCATGCTCCTCATACCCGACAGACCCTGCAGTGATAAATAACAATCCTTTATCTAGGGTGAACTCTGTCAGATATCTTGATATAACTACATATAGCAATCTTCGTTGATCTTTTGTATTCGTTCGGCTTGTGCAAACCTATATGCTTACATTTCAGTTAAAAACTGCACTGTTGCTGAAATCTGTTTCATGTACAAAAATTCTGCCGTAATTCGCTTGTGACCTTTTCTTTTTTTTGTTGGGCCATGTAAGGTGCAAGGGAATTCTTAGAGATGGTAATACGAGAGGGCACATGCCGAAAAGAGAAGCATGTAGATGGATAGGAACGACAATATGATACATTGGAATGTAGTGAATGAAGAGGGTCGTCTAGAATCTTATTGGCAAATTTAACACAAGAGTTGATGTAACCATGTGATTAATCAATCTATTGGGATTAATGATACACGACTGATGATCATCAAACCACGACGAATTGTTTTGAAGTTTTCTTTTAAAAGACCGGGAAACACTACAGGGGAGCAGAAGAGTAGAATGGGGAGAACGCATTGATGGACGAAAGAGGACTGACTGTGGAGTTCGTAATTGCCTGAGTTTGCATAACTGAAAAGACAGGCATTTCAGTTTTCCCCATACAATTGTAAATGTGTGTAGACCAATGAAGATTGCTGTCGATGGTGACACCCAGTTACTTGACTAAGGTCATTCTGGATATAGGTTTACAGTTAAGGGTCGCAGAGTCCGTTGGAAATGAGGAGCTATTTTGATACTACCTGCTACCTCTCAGATGGTTCCAAATGAATAATGATACGAGACTGAAACCGGCAAAAGCTCATTTTATCAGCAAGGACCAAATCCGGTCATGTGTGTGTGCTTGTTATCAATAGCTGTATTTCAACCAAATTGATTACATCGCATCATCGATGGCTCGGATTCTTATCACATGCTTTCCCATCACCTCTACTGGGATATGGGCAGAGCTGTTTGTGATTTCCGGAAATGGTTGTGACAAGTGTCCCGCTACATCAGCCCATGAATTGGCATAAAATGATAAAAATGCGATTGACAGCTTCGATCCCCACTGGCTCTTTCCAACTAAGGCTCTGAAAATTGTTGTCGTTGAGGAGAAACTGTAGGATATATCCATTCGTGTGAACTTTACCGTGGATCCTTGTGATTACTCTCCAACCAACACATACACAAGACACAAATATGGAAAGGCATGCACTGTAATGCATAAACTACCCCACCAGATTTTTTAAATAATCATCCTTTCTTACATACCCTCGATTGCGTAGTGTTAGATATCATGTTGGCGTTGTACCTGCTTTAAGCTAATAAGCGCTCATTGATGAGAGTTATCTGTTCCTTCCAACGCACTAGTTGAAATTAATTAATTACATCACCGTTTCGATTTTTACAGGCTGCCCGAATCGATGGATTTCCTGGTGTGATTACGGCTCTTGGTAACNAACATTCTAATTCGGGGAGACCTTTTGGTCGCTACCACTACCCGTGATCAACTCCTAGAAACAGTTACCGCTTACAAACTGGCTTTACAAGAAAGTACCAACTCGATGGGGCTACCAGATTCCGTGCATGCAGTTGTTCGCTCCACATTTGGCGCTCCACCTTCACAGTCTGGCAATCATCGTTCATTCACTGCCCCGACCAGTCCAACGGCGGCGTCTACTCCAACTGCGATCGCAAATTCGAGTACCCAATCACAAACGGGCCTCACCACAAGCAGCGGCACAGCTACTGCCGCAAGTTCCCTTGTTCCCGCTCCGGATTCTTCTACGGCCGAATCAAACACTTCCGGGCTGTTTGTAGGAAATCTGAAGTTTACCGAATCACGGCTGTTTCTGTTCGAACAGATGCTGGTGGTCACGGAAGAAGTGAAGCTTAAACGACGTGCAACCTCATCGGACACGTTCTCCCAGTCCACATACCAATTTCGTGCTGCTATCAACGTGAACAAGATGCGCTACGAAGTAAGTAAGCATTTCCTCCGCCGTACTCCCACAAAATTGGTTGAACGTACCATCATCGGAGCATGTGTTTTGACTAGTCAGACAAGGTTGTAGACGAGTTTCGTACGAACCGCGGTTGTTGGAGTACTTTTCCCGTTTCTTTTTTCTAAAGCATTCTCTTTGAACAGTCAACGGTCGTTCGCAAGGCCCAATTTTTGTTGTTGAATGAAATGTGAGCTTTTGACTTGCAGAAGTCTCAATGAAAATTGAAATCTCGTTTTGGGTCATCAAGACCTTGCGTGAGCATTCTGACGAAAAACACCTCCGGTATCTGTGTATTTATTGTTAGTCACGTTTTTTCACACTTCTGAATCCAGACTGTGCGTCAAACTAATCTTGGTACAATACTCTTGATGAGAAAAAACGTTCCATTATTTGCTTGTGGGTGCGATACTGCCAGGTTGCCCAGGCCAATGTAGGCAACTTTTCTTGAGGAATCCACAACCGGAGCCTTTGCCTAGCCAAAGCCTGACCCTCAAAGTAGCGGGGCGGCCTTTGAAGCGGATCACTCCGATCGCCTCTCATTTCAACCACCAGCCGCAGGACTCCATGAACATTGGAAGCAAATTGAGAAAGCTATGCAAATATTGATAAAAGCAACGTCGGACCCTGGCGCAGACTGAAAACACAAACGATGGATCCCGTCCACCTCGGCTGTCCTGCTGGACGCCCGCAGAAACCTCCCTCCTGATGCCACATATGACGCAGCCCGCCAATCCTTCAAACGCCAGCTCATCAAGAGTCCGAGGACTGATCGCGAGAAGTGGTGGGTAGACAGGTGTGAAGCGATGGAGAAAGCTGCGGCTATTGGTAATAGTCTCAATTCAGGACACCGATGACGCACTAATTCACGATCAGCAACGCCGTCTTGATCAATGGGCTCGGTTCAACTGGCCCTCATCGACATCTGATCTTTCACCCGCCACCTCGACTGGGCAAATACTCCCAGTTCATGCTAGTCCGCCATCTCGAATTGAGTTTTCTCGGGAAATAAGTTGTCTCAAAAGGTATAAGGCCTCTGGCCCAGATGGGCTGTTCCCATCGGCGTTTAAGAATGGAGGCTCAGCGTTAGTCTTGGAGTTGACGGAACTCCTGGGCTCAATATGGGATAGGGAAGAAGTTCCAGCTGAATGGTGTCAATCGGTGATCATATCGATTTAAAAGAAAAGTGACAGATCCCCTTGTGAAACCACAGAGGAATTAGTTTAATCAACGTCATCTCTAAACTTCTCGTTGGCATCATACTCCGTCGATTGTCTGCTGCACGTGAAGGGTGCACGCGTGAGAACCCCAGGGCAAGAGTTTTTCATTAATTCGTGAATTTGCAATATTTAATGTGTATTGTGAAATGGTTATCCTACCCATCCCTACTAATCTGGATCTGCAAGGCTACTGTGTTGGCAAGCGATAGATAGTACATTGGGATCACCTCTTTTGAACGGGCAATGATATGCGCAAACTGCATCGTTTGTGTTGCTCGTTAAAAGAAGAACAAAACAACTCAGTGTATCCCCTATAGGAACCCTATATGCTTCTTTGGGGTGTTTGGTCAATGGGTGAGTTGTTTCATCGTTTTCATCCATATGTGTAACCGCCAACCCAACCAGACGTCCAGCTGACCAATCGGTCAATGTACAAGTTTATTGATCTTAGCATTTCCAAGTAGTATGCCTAGTAGTTAGTTAGTCGGTTAGTGGACTTTGTAGCCAATCGGTCGATCTGCTCGCTCGTTTGCTTGCTTCCGATTGTTCGTTTGTTATTCGTTCGTGGTGGAATGCTTATCTTCTTTCGCCTGATTGAAAAATCAATCTCTGTCCCCGTCCTGGATTGCGTTCTCAAATTCACTCGCCCCGGGTTTGCTGTGATTTACTCCTTGTGAGAGCAAAATCACGCAACGTGGTTGTCTGTTTGTGTGTGTGTGTGTATTTGTTTCGGTGCCATACAAATGCGTACACATACACGCGCACGCACACACACAAACGGACGATCAAGCAAGCAAGTACACCATAACCCAAAGGCATGCACGGGGAGTGAGGGAAACGGGCGGCTTGATGGTGGCCTGACTCGCTTGCTCGTTCGCTCGCCAGTTCGTTCGGACAGACCGCCTGGCTTGTTTGGCTTATTCGGCCAACGATTGAGTTGGGCAGATGGTTACAACAATACTCTGATAGAGAGAGAGAGAGAGCACTCTCGCTATCTGTGCCGTGCTTCTGCGGTGAACTGGCGGTTGCCGATTTGCTCGTTCACTAAGCGGACTGGCAGGTAGGTGAGTAGGCCGGCAAGCAAGCAATAGAACACCGAGCATAGATATGTTCCTTTTCTCCCGCGCTCGTCCAAGTCAGTGCTCAATAGCGCAACACAACGGTCTG